CGCTTAACTCTGAAAAAATCCTAGAACCGGCCGTGTATAAATCCGTATACAATCTGAATGATTTTCCTAAAGCAGATAGAATTAGTTGTTAGTAATAGATATTGACTCTTTCCGTAACATGATAGAATAATTATATAAACTCATTCTCCCATATAGTGAAAGTGGCTTTGACATGAAACAAACAATTATAAGAATCCTAAAAAACCTATTGGGCAACCTAAAGCCGATAAATAAGTAGGAAATATTGTGTTAAACAAATTCATCAATCACGTTTTTTAGGGAACACAATCGTCATACTTATTATTATGCTTATCCTCTCTTCATTTAACTAAGATTTTAATGACTTCGCTCTATCTATCGCAGTTAGCTGAATTTACATAAAACTTCAAGATTAACCGTCGATTTCGACGGGGTTCCACTAGTTTTTAACTGATTTCGTAATGAAACGTTATATTGAAAAACATGACATGATACAGAAGAAAATTAATTTTACCTAACCCGCCATGTTAAACTTCCCTATCCCAAGCGTGATGTATACAACTTCCTTACTTCTCGAGTGATGTAAAGTATCAAAAACTCACTCGGTGATGTAATGAAACCCATTTAAATAACATTGAGTGATTAACTTAAAAAATATACCTCTATGGAGCCAACGACGTTCAACTCTAGAAATCAGCTGTGCTCTTGAATTTTATTGTTATGTTTTGAAGAATTTTCCTAACCTAGCTTTTGTTTGTAAATGAACGTTACTGTTAGAAGACGGGTGAAATGGATAATGATTAATATTGTTCGTAACCTCCTGTATATTGTCGGGTCAGGTAAAATCTTGTACGTTACACGTTACGCAAGAGCGTGTTTATACATCACTTAGGTAAATTATGCAACTCGCTTCCGCTCGTTGCACAACCTTTACCTGCGTGATGTAAAAACGCTCTTACTACACTTGTAAAGTAAATAGCTACAGTATTAAAAACAGAAAATAACATTGCAAATACTTCTTTTGGACAGTTCAGTAACTCCTAATAAATGTGTGTTGTTTAAAATACAATTTAAAAATTAACAGCTGTTTCATTAAAAAGTATTATCCACATGACCAAAATGTAAACAAATCTGTGGAGGGATCTTTAAAGGCTTCTGGGGCAGTGCCCTAAGGGAATTTACTTAGTTTTTCTTTTGATAACTCATCTACAGACCAAGACCTTTCTTTTGGACACCTCTACCAAGTTTCTACGCCCAGCCGTTCTCTCGAATTAGTGGGCACAAAGTTTCCAATTAAATATTTAGATTCCTCCGTGTTAATCTTATGGGAGAAAACCTAAATTTGATGGATAATCCTGCCCAAACTAATGAAGATTTCAAAAATTTAAAAACACTTTGCTAAACTACAGATTAGGACAATTTTTTTACACTTTAATCATTAAAATCGGTCCAAAAATGAGGGAGGAGTTCTGTTTACAAAAATCGGCTTAGCGTATTATATATATAGATAGATGATGATGATGATGTTTTGTTCTGCATCATCTGATGGTTTGCAATATAACGATCAATTACGAAATCTTTGGAAAATCTGAATACTACAATAACTCTTAAAATGATTTCTTATCGAATTATCTTATATCTATTGTACGTGTTGGTAAAATAGATATAATTGTACTGAGATATAATTACCAGGATTACTATATATTTAGCTAAGTAAATTCCCTCACCTCATCACATCAGTAAGCCTCTCTATGAGTGATTTTGATCTTTTTAAACCATGGATCTTTCATATAACGTAACACACTAAAGAAATTTACACAGTTAGTTCTTGAGGGTGTAAAACTCTCTAGCCTCTACTCCTCTGTAGAGTAAAAGAAACTTAAGAAAACCTTGACCAAACAAAATTTACTTCAAAGGGGGGGAATGTAACTAGGGTAGAGTACTCACTAGGTGGAGGACCTCTAGGATCGTGGAATAAGTGAACACCAGATCCAGTATAATAATTATGATTTAATAAAAATAACTAAATGTGCACACATAAAATAAGTACATAAAATGAAGATAATTGTTATACAGTGATATTATAATGATTCAGAAAAGAAAAATTACAAATAAAATTGAAATAATATAAATGACTATTTACACCCTATTTTGTTTTTATACTCTGTTTCTTATATAAGGATATTTAAAGAAAATTTTCCTTAACACTTAAATTGTATTTAAAATTACTTTATACAAATGATAAGAAATAAAATATTTCCCTTGACACTTAAATGTTATTAGTTATATGAATCGTAAACACTTAAAACATTCTAAGCTAAATTAAACCCAATATTTACATACAAGTTAGTTCATCCCTCTGATAACATATATTAACTAAACATACATTTAAAATACGTGCTTACGAGGTTAACACCCTAATTTTCAATTATTTACTCATATTTGAAATTGTCTCTATTATTATATACACGTCTATATTAATAGTCTAACTAACAGGTTTATTTATTTGGATTCGTTTTGAATCCTGTTTTATTCAAACTTCAAAATTGCTCTTGTTTAGGTTGACCCCTTTTAGTTTAATTGAGGGTTGATGTTTATATGAATTTTAAAGTAACTCTACTTCGTCTGCCCTATTTTTATATATTTACTTTATCTTTCTTATAGTTTATTTATTTCATTTATATATAGATTTTGTTATATCTTATGGAGTTTCTCCCTAACATTTAAGTTGTGCACGCTACCAATTGAGTGAAGATATTTGGACATACCACAAGACGAGGCAGTTGGGCAACGATTGGAAGGTTCCCCGGGGCGTTCCTTTGGTGCGGGCGTAGACTCCGGGGTTGTTCACTCGAGACTCAAGGGTTGATCCAAGCGTAGTCCTTCCTCTCGTCGTCGGTCGCTCGTCCTATGGGCCGTCCTCTTCGGGTTGCTTTGGTCCTTGGCAGCGTGGTAGTGTAGTGGTGCCTTTGGTCTTGAAGAATAGCCGTGGTTGTGTCCTCATGATCTTGTCTGGTCGGGATCTTAATAGGTGCTTCAAACTACCCTGTTAAGTCACTGTCCCTACTCGATCCGGGACTCCCGATGGTTTCTTCTTTGAAGTGCTACTTCTTGAGACCTCTCCAAGACTGATTAACACTTTTCTTCCCCAAGACCTCCTTTCCCCTCCTGGATTATCGGTTCTTCCCCCCGATGTCTTCGGGAAACGCCTACCCTCCAATCATCGGTGGAATATCTTCGATCATCGTCCTCATTGGCTTCTCCCCTCATGACCAGCCTCCAGAGGGCGTGGTGCTGACCGTAAGTAAAATTATTTCTTTATGCATGTAAAATTTCTCGGAATCGGTGTGAACAATATTGTTTCTCGTCGATTGTTCCCATCGGTTACAATTTCTTCTACGATGCATTCCAGATCGAAAATCAATCTATGCCTGGTTTGTTCTCAGCAAGGTCTTTGCCCATGAGAACGTGACTTGAACTTGAGATCTTGCGATCATCTTTACTTTTTATTTCTATGAGGGGTCAGCGAACGTTTTGTATTGTTCATGAGTTTGTAAAGAAAATGATTTAATAATTTAAATTTTTAATTTCCATATGTTTATAAGGGCATTTAACAACTGCGCAATCAATAAGTACTGTAGACCATATTACTGTAAAAGGCCGGTCTTTATAAATTATATAGTTCTAAAAGAAATTTCTATTTGACCTCTTTGTCACAAAAACATACTTCTTTGTATAATGATTGTTATGTAAATGCAGTTGTCATCGTAATTTACAATTATTGATCCGTCTAAGTGTTATTTTTTCAATAAATATCTTGTTTGGTAAACAAAGGATGTAATTGAATCTGTAAGTTAAGACAAGTATGCGAAAACTACAGTTTTCCATTCGTTATTTCGAATGTAAAATATTTCATTATATATTTCGTTATTTTGTCACGTAAAAACATTTAAATTCTGTATGATGTATAAATATAAAAAAATTTAACAACAAATCCATTTGAAAGTAAAGTTTAGACATTGGTACGGTCGACATTGGTACATTATCATTGGCGAAAATGCACATGCACATTAACATTAATGCGGCTATGTGTATAAGTTGAGACACGTTTGTAGAAAACACTAAAAAGGCAATCTTCTAAACAATTTTAAAATATTTACAGATTTAATTATATAGAAATGTTCATAACACAGTAAGTAATTCCATTAGTTGCATAAGCTTTTACGTGAGTCTTTTTAATTAATTGAAAATGAAGTCTGTAATAACTCTTAAAATAGCTCCTGTAATACCGGTACTTGATAATTGCTTGATTTCTAGCAACGAGTACACAAGTTAAAAATTCAACAATGCATTAACATAACAAGCTCTCTTTCACGCTGCAAGACTAGTAAACGGCAGAAGTAAGGCAGAACGGCAGAACTGCGGTATTGGTTTACCATACACGCCTGCAACGATGCGCTGCAAACCGCGCGACGAGTAGCTAAATGAACCGTAGAGTAAGTGAGCCTTCTAATATTTGTAGAGGGTTCACTTACTCTACAGATCATTGTGCCAATGAACTGTAGAGTAAGTGAGCCGTATACGAGCTTATTCCTGAATTATTCAAGAATTCATACGCTTGGCTCATAGGCACTATGATCTGTAGAGTAAGTGAACCCTCTTCATTTATTTGATATTTTTGATCGGCTCGTATAGTATACGAGCCTGTAGTGCAAGTGAACCTTCAATATTATTTACGAAGCTCGTATAGACTATGATTTGTAGAGTAAGTGAGCCATGAGTTTTAAGAATTACATATTTGGAGGCTCATTGTGTCAATGATTCGTAGAGTAAGTGAACCCTAACCACTGAAACCAACTGACGGACAGACGGACGGACTATTGACTGAAAAATTGCGGATGCAGATGCAGATGCAATGCAACTGAGACTGAATTGTTACTGGACTGTAACGGAACTGTGACTGAACGATATGGTGTGAATCGACCTTTACCCGACCCGGTCGTCTTCGTCTTGTCCTTGTCTTTTGTCGTTTGTAAAAAAAAGCCAATGTCAATCACAGCTGGGGTCGATTATGTGCTGTGCTGTGCGTTGTGCGCTGTCGCTGTCCGCTGTGTTTATGTTTACGTGCTGTCGTGAGTTGTTGTTGGTTGTTGGCTTCACTGGCTTGTGGCTAAACAACAAAGTAACAAACCGAAAATAACATTCAAAGTGGACACAGTTTGTATCTTTTACTTCATTAATTTGATCAAGATTTACTGTATCAGGTATTTGGTTTAGTTTTCTCGGATAACATAGTTTAGAAAGTAACCTAGGTGAATATTAGTAGCTTGGAAAGTCCTGTTGATTAAGTTAAATGTGTACCGCACCTTACTGCAGGTGACTGACAAAAAGCTAGAACAGATTGTGCCACCTTTACAAATTTATTAACAACATTTAGGTTAGGCCTAACTAAAACTAAGCTACGATGGTGAAGGGTTGCCAAAAAGTGGTTTCGTCCAGTTCACTTAATTTTTAAAAACTTTTCTAATGAATAGGTAAAGAGGTCTGCCTACCAAGTAGTCCTTCAGTGAATCTTTAAAGGCCCTAATATCAAACTTGCACTCTTCAACTGGGAGTGTGTTGTAGATCTAAAAGATGTAAGTTAACCATTTTGAGTTCAACCAAGTCCGCATTTGGGCAGGTCAAGGAGATGGCCATCATGTTTGGTACGAGTGTTGGTCCTCACATTGAGCAAGTTTGTCTGAACTTTGTAAAAGTAATACCATGCTATTAAGGATGTACTGGCTATAGACTGTCAGAACCTTAAAGATAGGCCTAGGCCTAACTTACAGTGGTCACAATATTAATCACTCTCAAAGCCATCTTCGGAAGGAGCAAGGATGTCGTGTGCTGCAGCTGTATGGCCCCAGAGTGTGATGCCACAGCTTACATGGCTTTCAAAAGAACATGGTAGGCCTAGGCCTAACTTACACTGTGACTAAAATATACGGTTTAGAGATAACCAACACCAGTTTCTGGGGATTAAACTAACTGGCATGCTTGACTACCTTGCTAATGTGGTGTTTCCAACTAAACTTAATGAAGTGAATCTAGAAGCCCAGGAGTTTGATGGCTTCTTCACCTGTGGTTTGGCTTAAGTGTAGGCCTATACAGCAATGTTGGAGTCTTGTCGTCATTTATTTCAGACAAGTTCCGGTTGAACCATTCCTTTGCACAAGCAAGAAGGTTGGCTATTCTGTGTCAGTGAGTAGTCTTTTTAGATATTAGGCCTATTATCCCTGCCTCTGGTCTGAATTGGCCAGACTTATGTACACCAGCATAATACATACTGTAGGCGAGAGTTAAGAAGTCCCCTGAGCCCTGGCCTATTCTAAAAATGCAGCTGCGCTTTGCTACATGACGGCTCGACGCATACTCATGTTCCACGCGGCAGTCGGTCAGGGCTCACATCCACAGCGTTAAAATCAAAAATGGACAAGTTTAAGTCGTCTTTACATTTCAGTTGTATACAAACATAAATGTTTGTCATACTGCAGCAAAAACGGCCGCTTAGCCTATAATAAATAAATGATCCTGACTAATGAAACCGCTGATATTAGTCAGTAACAAAGCTACACAGGTCATCACACACCATTCTACACTCATCCTTCACTCATATTTGGGTTAAAATACGCACCTAGGTGGCGTCCCCATCTCAACGATTGATTATTGATTGATTATTGATTAATAGTTTTTAGTCCGTAGGGAGTAAAAATCAGCTGTTGTAAACATTTGTAAAATTTGATCGTGGCAATCCTATAGATCGAAATTATTTATCGCTTGATTTATTAAGTAAGGTTTTAGCATATTGTTGTTGATCGTTCGACATATCGAGCGTATGATGTACTGTATCACAATTGTATTTTTTTAGTTTATATAGCCTACACAGTTTGTATACAGTTCAATACAGTTTATTATGGGATGTTTAAAATTTCTAATTCAGGCATATAGGCCTATCATTGGAATTTTCATTCGGAAGCAATTGTTTTTGTAACAAAAATGCTAAGTGTTTGATATTTTATCTCAATAAAGTGGTGAGATAAAATACCGTCTACCTGCACTTTGTGACGGTCTGCTCTTTTGCGTTTTTTCCCTGGCTTGTTTAGTTTCTCATCGGGAGTTAATTTTCCCGCTTTCGGAACATATAGGGCCTACAATAGTTTTTTTCGACCCTTGCAATACTTTACCGCACGTTCTGTCGCTTTTTCGATCGAAACTGATAAAGCTCTGCCACTGCATTCTTTATCAAACTTCAACCACTCTCCGATTTAAGTTTCTCTCCGCACTGTGAATTGTTGCCCCACGTTTCCTAAAGTCTTCCATAATAGTAAATTGCAAAACACCCTCACCGTAAGAATACTTGTGGTGCACTGAAGCAACTCAAGCGATTGTCACTGTATTACTCATCTGTTGTCGATGTGAGAAGTATTCAACATGATTCACCTTGTGAAATGTCACTCCCCCGTGCTTAGAGAGGGTGGTGCACCTGCATTCGCTCTGGCTCAGAGGACTTCTTAACTCTCGCCTACACAGTTTTAAGACCCTCGATATCCATGCAGTAGGCCCCATTGTTACTGTGTTAACAATCTAAACTTATTGACTTTCTAGTGCAACAGCCCAAATTTATCCCTACTCCATTTATTGAAATTAGGCCAAATTTCCATACAAAGCTTCTTATAGAGTTGCATGACTTTTCTTAATTGTACCCAAGGCCTACCACTGTTTTTTTTGGCTTGTGTCTGCATAACAGATTTTTAATAGTTAAGTGAACTAAAAATTAAGAAGTGTAAACCCTACTCAGGTTGAACATATAACTTTTGAATTCAAATTTTCACAAGTGAAGCCACGACGGGTTTGCTAGTTCGCCTATAAATTTCAATAGGAGTAACAATTTGAACATTCAAAAAGATTACACTCCCTACTTCACATTTGGTGGGGTTTTTCGATTAGTGCCGTCATTTTAAAACGCTGTGAAAACAAGTAGCCTGATGTGAGGTGAGTTTTGAAAGGCAAGGCAAGCGGCCGCGCACATAATCACAGTAGTGGGGGATGATCGCAGCGCGCCATGCGTATTCTCGTTCTTTACTTTCTGGATGACCCTAGGATAAGCTCTATTATTCACTCAGTCAACTTGAATAGAATGTTTAAAAAAGTATCGTCAATTTCTAGGAGATCCTATTTACAGCATCATACTGTTATATTATAAGTTAATACTGTTGCATATTTTTCAGGCTTGAATGTTGTAATGGCGGATGTAGAAATCAATGTCAGTGGGACAATGTCCCCACCAACCCAGGAGAAATCTCTTGCAAGGTAAAGCGCAATTAATCTACGATCGAAATAACAGCTCTTTTATTTGGTTTAAATTGAATATCTATTTATTCACAACTAACAAGCTTCAATATATAATTTTAAAGGCTCTGTTGCCTCATAGTTAACAAATTCCTTGATAACCTTAAACTTACAGGCCTTAAATAAATAGTCTTCAACTATTTATGTAGGCCTACTACATTTTTGCTGATAAAAGGTGGTAAGTTAACTGAAAGAAGTTTTACTTAGGAAACAATTTTCATTGTTTTTGGACAACTGGTTGATTTTATAGCATAACATACTGTATCACCTTAAATACAGCTCTAAAGTCCATACAATGACCAAATATTTCAGTTTCGAAGCACAGTTAATAAAACTGTGGAAAAGTCTTGAGTCTCCGACAACGGAAGCTTTGGGTGACGAAGGGTGAGTCTTTTTACAATATAGAGTGTGAGGGGTGCTTAGTGATTGATAGACTGTATAAATAGTGAGATATAGTTCTAACTTCTAAGACACGGCACAGTAAGGCTTTTATGCCTCATAAAATATGTTCAAAATGTAACTACTCTCTTTTCTACACTGTACTGCAACAAAATGTTATCCTCCCATTTAAGGTCTTTATTGAAAACAACAGATTGTGTGCTATTTCTAGTGGCCTACCTTTACACCCAATGGGTTTTCTTCTTTTCAAGCTTTCCTCATAACCACCAGCCAGGCAGTCGTTCATTTTCCCGGGAAATATTCGCTTTATAAGCTATCATATTGTGCTGTTCTTGTTTCTTTTACAATTTGTAAAGGCCTAATTTGCTAGTTTCTTTTACAATTTGTAAAGGCCTAATTTGCTATAATGTCTGTTTTATTGAGATGAAATCAATATCCTGCAAAATGTTTAGTTGCACCAACTCATATAACACAAATTCCGATTGTTTAATTTAAACTCTCAAAATAGAAAATGACGTTTTCCAGCTTGGTTAAATATTTTCTGCTGTTGATACCTTTAATTTTATAACCAATGTTTATCTTGCAATTATGTCCTTAACGTTTGCAATTTTTATATTGGAGTCCATTTCTCTTTATCTCCCTCTTTTGACCTAGAACTAATTAATCTTGTGCTAAAGAGTTTGAATTTCTTTTGTTTATATTTCTTGTACAAATGTTTATGTTCAAGGGTTATCAAATTGTGTTTGGTTTCTGTGAATATTTAAAAGCTTATGCTTTGTGTGGCTATACATGGATTTTTTTTGAAAGACCTCAAAGTCTTTTTCTACAGTGTGTAGCTGGTGTATGGATGTAAATGAAATTTACTTTTGTATTTTTTAATTTATACACCAGGGTGGTTTAATGATTTGTGTAAAAAATAATTAATTAATTTAAACTCATAATCTAAATGTAAAACTACGTTACACATATTATGATTTGCTGTTACTCAACATCAGAATCAAAATTTTATTATTGCTAATACAGTGTGGGCAACCATCTAACCATACAGTTTTATTTTCAAGCAATCATTTTTGACAAAGACAAATAGGCCTAATGTTATGTAGGCCGTAGGCCTATATGTAATTTTAATTTATATGTAGCCTACTATATTGGTACTGTACTACTATTATGTTGAACTATGAACTATACTCCCACCACTTTTTTTGCTTAATGCATAATTTGTTGGAGCTGATTTACGTTTTGGCTAACCTCAGCTATTGAGCTGTTGTTTTACGATAGATGTTGTCAAGTGGAGGGGATAGATTTCTTCCCCTAAAACCGCTAAAATTTTGTGAACGAAGTATAGTTAACTCTTCATTGGTTCACGTTTTGTGAAAAGGCTTTTGTGAAGTAGGTTATGTTGTATCAGCTTGCTAGTTACTGGAGTAAACAAAAGTCTTAACTAGGATGACCCGAGGTGAGGGGGGTGTGGTTACACGGTGGTCTGGGGGGTGATCTTGCATTTTATGAATAAATTGTATAAATAAATAAATAAATGAATAAATAAATAAATAATGAATAAATAGCAAAAATGAATAAATATTTAAATATTTATTGTTTATAAACCTAGTGTAATTCAAATAGATTTAATTTAAAATCAATTCAGGCAAATGAAAATTCACTTAGTCTGCAGGTTTGCTGCAGTGGGGGTATTTAGGTTATTTAGAGACATATAAAAAAACAATTTAATTGAAGAAAATAAATTGTTATTGTAAACAAATCCCTTTTTAAGGTCAAGTGGGGGGTTCAAACCCCTAAAACCCCCCCCTAAATACGCCACTGAACGGAAAAAGGAAAAAATTAGTTTGTTGAACGTACATACATGTTTACGCTTTTAACGCAGTTTTTAAACATATTTTCCGTTTTTAGTGGATTTCATCTACCACAAACTCTGAGTGTCAAGGCATGGTTGAGTCAGTGTTATCAGAACCTTCGACCTTGGTCAACGTTTTTCAACACAGCCAACTTCAAAGCGCCCGCTGGAGTGCCACTGCTTACGAGGCGAATCATGAAAAATGCGGCCTACTTCCTTAGCAACTACGTTGTCATTGTGTTTGTGCTCACTCTATACTGCCTGTAAGTATGTTGCTGTTTCGGCTTAAGGTTATGTTGAAATAAGAATTTTGTGATAGATTGTGAGTTCCACAACAATAGTTATAAATTTACTGTAGGTTGTAGGAAGGTAACTACAGATTAGTGTGGTAACCCTTTTCGGGACACTGGAATATTGTTATTTTAAATCTAATATTGCTCGGCCTACTTCATTAGTATTTATTTTCAATGGGAATGTCTGTAAAAAGGGAACAAAATGTTCTCAAGTGATAACTTAAACCCTTTGCGGTCCTTATTTATCATTCTCTTTTCCTTCCCCATAGACCGGGAAGGCCACACTTAGTAGCCCTGTCATTTTGTTTAATGACACAATATTGTCAGTGCTGAAGGTAACCCCTCAGCTCGGGCCGACCCCGCGTAGTAGCCCTCTACGCGATTACTGTTCAGCTCGGCTGTCCACCCCATAGTGGCCCCCTGTTTCTCTTCATAATTTTTAGCATTGTTTTCGATTCTCTTTGCTTGGGAGGTACTGCACTCCCTCGACAACCATCGGAACTATCTGAATTCAACGACAAGCCATTGTTTTAATCTATATATCTATAAGTATAAAAGAGGATGTTTGTATATATATTTGTTTGTTTGTTTGTTTGGCAGTGATAAACTCAGACACCGCTGAACCGATTGCCACGAAACTTGGTACATACGTGTAGAATGTCATGGAATAGGTTTATACACCATCAATTTCGTGATCCGTCCAATCGGCTCCGCCCCAGTGGCTCTAGAGTTTCCCATGTTAACCTTATGAGAAATGGAATTAATGAATCTTAACAGCTGTTTCAATTAAACAAGTTGGTTCTGTTCTATGATGTTCAATAGCATTAAAGTTACATGGATTACCAACAGGGTGCAGCACTATTATTTCTTTTACATTTATGACAACAGCTAATTTGCAACCAAAAGGTGAGTGAGCGTAGCGAACGAACTTCAACCTGGAGGCGAGTTAGCGTAGCGAACGAGCTAACCTGAAGGCAAGTGAGCGTAGCGAACGAGCTAACCTGAAGGCAAGTGAGCGCAGCGAACGAGCTCCAACCTAAAGGTGAGTGAGCATAGCGAACGAGCTCCAACCTAAAGGTGAGTGAGCGTAGCGAACAAACTTCATTCAGGACGTGATTGAGCCATGCGAACGAGTTCATCTTGAAAATTAAGAAGTAAAACGGGGCAAAGCCCGCGGGATTATAAATAGTCAAAGGCAAGACAACGTCTGCCGGGTTCAGCTAGTATATATATAAAATCCAATGTATGTTTGTTTGTTTGTTTGTCCTTTATGGACTCCGAAACCGCTCGACAGATTGTAATGAAACATTCAGGCATTATTAAGAATTATTCAAGGATGGTTTGTGTGAAGTTTGGTGCAGATCCGTCAAAAGGGCTCCGCCCCAGTGGCTCTGGAGTTTCCCATGTTAACCTTATAGTACTCATATTTAAATGGAATTAAATAATCTTAACAGCTGGTTCAACTAAACAATTTCATTATGTGATGTTCAATAGCATTAAAAAGTTAATAGGTTCACCAACAGGGTGCAGTACTTTTATTTTTTTTAAGTTACGACAACAGCTAATTTGAAACCTGGAGGCGAGTTAGCGCAGCGAACGAGTTCCAACCTAAAGTTCAGTAAGCGTAGTAACTTCAACCAGGACGTAATTATTGGGCCATGCGAACGAGCTCATCTTGAAAATGAACGAGCATTGACATAAAACCACATTAGGACAGGACGACGTCTGTCGGGCCAGCTAGTGAGCTTATAAATTAAAGTCGAACCTCTATAAGACGAATTTCAAGAGGTAGAGGAACTGACATGAATTGTTTACTTCTATGGCCGGAAACTAAACATTCAAGTTGAGTCCTGTCAAAGGTCATTCGCCCGTGACGATATGACTTGTCCCCCTGAGACCGGGCCGGACTGTTCGGCGGCCGATCGAACCGAAGCCGAATTAGAGGGAGTCTACTGTACTATGGTTGAGATCTTGAGAAATTTGTCTTATAGAGGTCGCATTCCGTCCTGTAGAGGGTTTTGTGTAGAATATTATAAGAATATTCGTTGTATAGAGGTTAATCAGCTCTAGCCCATGTCACAAATTTGTCATGAAGGTTTTTAACCTAATTACTACGTTGTACAGAGGTGTTTTTAGCATTGACCATTATGAAACTTTCACGGGGATTTTGATAAATACGCCTTATCGAGGAATTTGTTTTACCGAGGTTCGTACTAACAAGGTTAGACTCGAATCGACTGTATCACGTTTTCTAAGTGAGTTATCAGCTTGTGTTGTGCAATAGTCCTTTTAAAGCCTTTTAATTTTTCACTAATTGATATTAATGATTTTAAAATACCTCTAATAGAGACCTAACTTCCGATACTATACGGGATTTAACATAAGTCGACGAAGATGATGATATATTACAACTTGACACGTTACGGATCTCGTGGCCACTTGTACTTGTAGTGGCCTTTCGACTGCTAAGAGTTAATTAATTTATAATCAACCTTTTGAATGAATTAATATTAGTTTAACCATAGCCTTGCCATCAAACCAAGAATATATTGAACCATTGACTACAAACTGTTGAGAGTAATAACCGACATTGTATTTTTTAGAAACCTCAAAACAGAATACATTGCAACAACAACATGTTTGGATTTATTTGTACAAAAATCTAAACTGACTAGGCCTATAATGTGAACATCTTACTTACTTATTACTCTTACTCCAATGGCCATCAATACCCTAGAAGGGTCTTGGCCTTGCCAGCAATGTGAACATCTATACAATGATTATTTACTTAAACTAAACGGTAGGCTTTCACAGTCAAAGTAGAAGTCCTGGTCTTTGGGAGATGATTGTGCTGATCAAGAAACTAAAATAGCTACGGTACTGGTTTACATTTCGGATGCGTAACAGCAATCCATCAATAATCTGAATTAAAGCTTACTGTGATGATCACTTTAATGCTTCTCAAACATTCGCCCATATTTTTGCCAGCTTGATTCTATCACATCTTCCAAGGTTTGACAATGATTTTCATATACAGGTAATTCACAGCTTTTACATTATATTAGAAGATAGCACAGATAGATTACGACACTGTTTTGTACTCTTTCCTTGTCACTAAATTAAAGAAAGGAAAAAAGTAAATTATTGAAACAAATATTATGTTTGTCCTCAGTATCACAACGCCACTACTACTACTCGCCGTGTGTGCCAGTCTCGGCGCGTGTTACTCTCTCAGTCGGCGCAATGCTCAGCAGCCACTGGTGCTGTTTGGTCACACACTGTCCTTGGAGCAGCAATATGCACTGGTCGCTGGATGTTCCATACCTGTCTACATTCTAGTCGGAGCTGGTTCTGCTATGTTTTGGGTCTTAGGTGAGTGTAACTAAAGGATTTAAAGTAGTAATCTGTCAATGTTTTGGTTTTGTTTTGTTTTTTAGAAATCTGTCCATGAAAAAATAAAGCTACAAGTTTCCAATCACTCACTTCTTAACTGTTGGATTTAAAAAATATCAAATCCTTTTGTTGGTTGAGTTGAGGGTTGACGATTGTCTCAACTCCCAACCATTTCAAAAATAGGGCCCCAGCTATCTATCAGTATGCTCTGGAATATCTTGTCTATACCAAAGAAAATCATTTTAATCTTACATTAAACTCAAATGTTCATAATTATGTTACCAGAAATAGTTTAGAAATCAATAAAACATTTCACTGGTTGTATTTTATAAGGAGATATTATATAAGGAGATAGGTATAGTTATTTTATACATTGTCAGTCAGTTCAAATAATGTCTCAACGACAAAATTTAAAAGTTTGTGAAGGCCTGGTTGTTTGAAAAAAAAACAGTAGAACCTTGATAGTTTGACATTAGTTGGAATAAGAGGTTGTCAAACCATCGAAATTTCCAACTATAGGGAGTATATTGGACATTAACACAGGGAATACGTACTTAATACATGAGATAAAAAAAAACAAATATAAAGTATAGTATAAAACTTGACAAAAACAAACCTATCAACTTACATCTCTACTGTACATCCTTTATATTCTTAATGTATGAAATAGTTTGTAATATTCAACTGATTTTCTCTGTGGACATTAGGGAAAAAATTTAAATGAATGGGGTTGGTAGTTATAGTATTGAATTTTGCGTGCACAATAACTATAAGAAGGCTATAGATTTTTACCTTGGTAAACCCGTCAAGTGTCAAACTATCAAGGCTCTACTGTTATAGCATGTAGGAAGTACTAGATTCTAAATTAAGTAGAATTTATCTTAGTCTGGGTTTTCGAATCTTTTGGGTTCTCTTCTGACTTTTAGCAGGGCGTCCCCCTGAAGAGGTAGAGTATCACTGAATAATGTGTTAAAATGATTTGAATGCCCAGTAACTTTGTACTAAGTTTTGTAGCTCTATGTTTATTATTTTTAAAATAGGTATTTAGCTGCCCCAGAACTTTTTTCACTCTGCATATAACATTCATTACAAGTACAAGTGGCCATTTATTACTACATAAACACATTACAATAATTAATTGTCAGAAAGCAATTTATTGTGTTTCTTAGGAAACAATTTGTATTAAAATATTCAATCATTGACACAAAATGTTGGTGCTGTTTTAAGACCTTGGGAAAATCTTAGAAAGAAAAATTTACTTAGTAATAAACCAAAAGTAAGATGAGATTATGCAGTAGAAAATAATAACTTGAAGGTAGTTATATTCAATTATCATAGAAATCAATCTAAGATAAAAAGAATACAGTACAATCAAAGAATTCAACAAGTTTGCAAAGTTGATCAAGTTTTCATGAAATAAATACCTTCATGGGTCCAAAGAAAAAATGAGAAATAAAATTGAGTTTTGACAAGGAACAGTTATAAACAACACAGAAGAAAGAACTTATCAGAGAATCGAAGGAAGCGGAGGTAAACAAGGTGGATACAAACTGAAGAAAGTCAACTTCAATTAACTACCAGTAACTATGAAAGGAGTGTACTAATAACAGACAAGAAGTACCAGGAGTAACAGAAGCCAAAAAACTCAAGAGTTGCAAAATAAGATGAACAGTGGACGAATCAGAAGAACATGAAGAAGTTCTTACTAATTACTATTGCTTAGAACCTAATCTAGTTTTAAGTATCATATACTAATTATCGTATAGTATGTAATTTAACATTTAGTAACTTGTTATGTATTAAGAGTGAGGTAACATCATGTTAACATGTCACTTTACATTTGGGAGGTCTGAGACTGGCCATTCCGAGGTAAGTTTGTATTGTTTCTTACCTCACTTCAGGTGAATGCCGGAATGGTTCCCTCTAGGGCCATACCCCGTCAGGGAGATAATTTCTGTTTGGTTTATTAAGCCCTTAGAAGGTTAAACCTATTTTTTGGAAATAAAAAAACTTATTTGTTTACAGTATCTTTCCCTTTTTTTTCTTTAGACTATGGTTAAATATAATTTTAAATTTGCTAAAATGATTGGAGGTTAAAAAATTTACTTACATCTTTGTTTTGAACATGTCTACACATTGAGTACGGTAAAAATGACAGTAGGTGCACTCTAGGGCCTGAAATCTTTTTACATAACATCTTACCTTTTGTTTCCAGAAGTAAGAATCCAGGTTACAAACTATGTTTCTACCAGTTTTTTCCCAACAAAAATGGAGTTCAAAATTTTCACTGGTGATCAGGCCAGCCTGCGTATTGAGGTCTGTAGGCACTGCGAGGAAAATACTCATACTACTACCAAAAATACTATTTCTGGTCTCACAAACCCTGTTTTTACACTAAAATGTTAAATAGCACTATAACTAATATTTACAACTATATACAGCTCCTACTCCCTCCCAACCATTGTTTATTTCCCTCACAGTAAATCATGGAACTTCTGATACACAATCCTGGTTCATCTAGGCAAGTGTCATAAGTGTTTTCAGATCATTTTCATTTATCCTTCCCTTATATTTGGTTGTTCTGTTCACATTGGTCGCTCTTTATTAATTATCTGGTGGTCGTCTTGTTTTGCTCTCTTTTGCGCTGGTCAATCGACAATTTCAGGTGGCAAGCGCTATGATGACCTGCAGCCTGAAGTCGTACATAGATAGCCTTGGCTCCATGTGCTTATTGTAGAGGGAAAATGAGTTGAGTAAAATCATATGTAAAACATGATTAAATATTTTTTTATACAGTAAAACCTCACTAACTCGACAGTCAACACTCGATAGCTGACAGGGCGTGCGCAATCAATGCAATTTTTAAGAACACATGTGGAATGTTCGACGTTCCTTTGAAGATTGTTAATGTTATGAATTTAAAATAAATGGACAACAATAATTTTAATGCATATAAATGTATACGCTTAATTTAGTTGGCTGTGATAGTAAACCAAAGCCTGGACTGAAACTAATAAAAAGCAATTGTTGAAAAGCCTGGATGTAAAAAAAACAACAAGCAAGAAATTGACAATGGAGAGTCAAGTTAATTCGGTTCGAGTTTGTAAGCTTTGATAAATAAAATATGAAATACAATTCAATTAGTGTTATTTCTGATTTCTAACAGTTAATTCAATGTGAAAATACTCATGTAAGTGATAAATTCATGTTAATATTAGTCTGTTATGAATTCATTTATATAACCCATTGTTTTACCTCGTTAGTATGAAATCTATCAATTACTACAATATTCTTATAGGGTTTCTAGGTCAATATTTAGTGTCATATCTGCCTGATGTGTTTCTTTGCGCTGGTATGCCAGGCAATGTTATTTGGATAAAGAATCTTCATAGTGGGAGGTGGTAGACAAAAGATAGTTAACATATTTAACAGAAATGAGATGAGCTCTGTGGCAAGCAATATGATGTTACAAAGCTCTCCCAAGAGACCTTTTCTTTAGACCAGGGGTCTCCAACCTTTGGTGGTCCGCGAGCAGATTTTTGTCCGGGCCGCAGAAAGCCAGCAAAGGCTAATGAAACAAAGTTGTTTTGTCAGCAAACACCAATGATCTTCTCCAGCGATTGTGTATACACCTGTGTTCTGGTAGTGTCGGTTATACCATGATAGTTTCCCACGATCGTGGCAACACTCCTTGCCATATCTTGCGGTTCCAGCAATACTCTGATTGTCTACCGCGATTGTGGCAATACTTATGACCAAACTACATCACTTGGTTAAGCGATTCCATGATCGTCTCCCGCGTTGGCGGTAAAACTCGTCGCCTTATCTTGGGGTTTCAGCAATTGAGTGATCACTGCAACACTCGTCACAAATGGAACACCGTCAATTAATGGAGGCTCGGCGATAAGATTTTGACGGAACTCTCGGCCCATGCTAAATTCAAGTGTATTTTCACACTGTATTTTCCAGTTCAACAAAATTCACGTACAGTTCCTGGATGTTGGCTGGCTACCTCGTTAAAAAAATGCAGTACGATTATATCTAGTTCATGTCTCTCACTTGCAATTTTTGTTCAAAAGGGGAAAATCAGCTGGAAACATGTATTGGCCTATACAGATATGCCGAGTTAGGTTGACATTTAAATCAATCCCATACATCATGAATATAAACTGCACTGCAACCTTAAATAAGCTGACATTTTAAGAGGCTAATGCCCTCACGAAATATTATTGTTCTTACGATTCACACTTGTTGTAAACTCATGTATTGGGAAGCTTTCTTATCACCATTACAATTGACTTAAAAGTTCTTAGGGTAAATTTTAAAGTATTTGGAAAATATATATGTAATACTATGTTTTTATCAGGCTTAGCCAATCTGGAATTCTGGTTAGCGAGTTTGTGGGTTTACTTTGTGCCTGCCTTCCCAAAAAAAATTTACAATGTGGCCTTCGAGGAAAAAAGTTTGGAGACCCCTGCTTTTAGACTTTGGGGTAAGCTGCTTTCAGATCTGTATATGAGGCAGAGATTTCATTTTTTTTCTCCTCAGTTAAAAACCAAGAAAGTTCTAAGGAAGTTAATTTTCTAAGAAAGTTACTGAGTGCAGCAGTTGTGTCCGGGCCAAATCTAGAATGCTATATTGAAAAACCGGCATCAAGGATTCTATTGTATACTAAAATTACCTCTCCAACAGTTACTTAAGTATGTCAAGTTTTTGAGATTTATGAAATATTATAAGGTTTCTTCATAAATTGTTTGTTTCAGGAGCATCACTGTTTTTCACAACCCTCCATGCAGCATTTTTCAATATTTCAGCGTTGGCTTCTGATCAAGATGAAATGTTTGAAGGTGTTACGGAACAGATTTAAACCTAAACTGTATGGAAAGATATTTTGGGACCAAAAGCAATAAAGACGCTATTTCCTAAATTGATTTTTGTTGTAACATTCTAAATAAAAATGTTTTTATTCTGTTTTATGAGAATTTTAATTGCTCATCCTAACATTATTTTAGTCAAAAGACCCGTTCTCAGACACCAGTGAAGCTCCAATAGTTTGCCCCCAGCTGGGTAGTGTGCAATACATCATTTGATATCAATCAAGCAGTGAAGAGTCCAAGCAAAACTTTCCTGAGAGCTGCTGGCAGAAGTACTAATGACCTTAAAAAGTTGGATCACCTAAAATACCACCTGCCAAAATGCTCTCTTGCACATTATGAACAGATATCTGGGATTAAGTCCGTGGCTCATCAACCCTCTCGTCTCTACCTGCCAGATTGCAGTTGATACAGACTGCTTTCCCCTCAGATACCATTTATACTCTATTGCCCAAAAGCTATCTAATATTAAATTACTGGCTATATTCAACATTTTATTAGTAGTTACAGTCTGGTGCTTAGCTGCAGGTTTCATGTCCATCTAGAGATCTCAAACTCGAATCAGGAAGTTTGTCAGCATCTTCCTCTTAGGTTAGGAACTCTGAGGTGCCGAGAATTGGTGACAAGCTATAGTAGCATATCCACCATTTTTTTTTAATTTGTTTTTTTAGAAATATTTTGTGTGTATCCACGCCCTCAGATCTCAAACTCAAATTGGGAAGATTGTCAGCAGCTTCCTTTTTGTAAGGGTTAGGAAATCTGAGATACTGAGAGGAGACAAGCTATAGTTGCTTATCCACCACTATTGTCATTGTTCCAGTGTGAAAGGAAACAAATATATACTTTAGATAATTTACATTTTAAATAGTTTTAATATAGATTTTTATTATAGATATAGGCTAACAAGATATTCTTCAATACTTTATAATCAATCACTTTCTGTCATAATCAATTTGTAGCTGTCACTGTACACAATCCACGACTAATTGTGATATCTCGGACGATTTCAGTGGTGAATTAAATTCAGAAACGGCAAAATGCTAGATTAATGTTTAACAGAAGAAAAATGAGCTTGTGTTCAATGCAAAACAAAACAACAAACTAAACTTTTGAGTAACAAATGCCCCAGCTCTCATGCCACTTGGCTGAATATCTGTCAAGAATTTCTTAGTGATTAATGCTTTGACAGCCTCTGAATTAAATCTCTGCATAAACTATTGTTTGAATCCATCCCATTCTAGACCCTTAATGTTTTGCCACCAAGTACCTGCCGAACCCCTCAACCAATCAACAATCTGCAGATATATTTCCCACGGTATTCACGCACGTTTTAACAAATACTTGCACATAGCTAGAAACGCTGTGGAAAATTCCTCCATCCTCCTCCCGTGAAATTCCGGTAGGCTGTCTTTTATAATTTTGGGATCTACAGTAGGCATGTATGGTAGTTGTGATTCTGGATTATTCAAAGTAATTGTGTTTTCCTGTGAGGATATCTTTGTTCCAATAGCTTGAATTTATTGTTAAATTTAGTTTCCATGTAATCAATTTTAGTTTCCAATTCATTTAATTTATTTACCATCAAAGTTTGTTTCTAATTTTGTAATTTTATTAATAGTGGGGGAGCTAAAGTAAAAAACCCATAAGAAAACTGCAAATTGTGATAAGAGCATGCCCTTTGGTGGGAATGTAGTTTAAGGTTAGGCAATGCAAATAAGATGGGGAAGCACCGACCAAAGTTGCTATAATCCAAAATGGCGGTAATTTTTCAAAATTGCTGCCCGTTTTTTGGGTTTTATACATTTTCTTTTGATATACATCGTGCAAAATGGTGTTTCTTATCAGTTTTTAAGTTTTTAGGTATGAGGTAAGTAAATAAGTTGAGTAATAATGTAATAAACATAAATTTATATACAAGAAATGTACAGCCCCAAATCAAAAATGCACTTTATATTTTAGAAGTTGCAGAATATTTTTATTAACACAATTTTTTGCGAATTTCCCTATAGGGAAGTAGCTATTACCGTAGGTGGCATAGTAAGACCTATGCCCGGGACCGATTTACTTTTTCATTTTGATGTCCCCAGAGGCCAAAAACACCATTCGATAAAATTTATATATACAGGGTGATTGATTTAAGTGTGCCAGCCGTTTTATTTGAAAACTATAAGAGATATAAAAAAAAGTTTAATGGTAAGTGCCTTGGATTTTTTATTAAAAAAATTGTAGTCAAGTCGAAAAAATTATTTTAGCCGCCATTTTTCCAATATGGCCGCCAACTTTGATTTTTCTTATGGAACAACCTGTATTTTATGATGTACTGTATTCCGGTAGAAAATGTAATTTTAAGACGATTTTATTCTTCTGATTTTTTTCATAAACCTAACCGTTTCAAAGATAATAATGGTTAAAGTTTTTAAATTTCGGCATGAGAAAGAGTTTCGATAAAGGCCTAAGCAAGCATGCCAGCTGTTTATTCAAAAAACTGTTCAAAATTTCTCAACTTACACCATTATTATATTTGAAACGGTTAGGTTTATAAAAAAAATTGCAGGAATAAAATTGTCTTAAAATTACATTTTCTACCCGGAATACATCATAAAATACATGTAAACTTATGTTCCATGCTGTTGTTCTTATGTTCCATAAGAAAAATCAAAATTGGCGGCCATATTGGAAAAATGGCGGCGAAAATAATTTTTTTGACTTGACTAAAATTTTTTTAATAAAAAATCCAAGGCACTTACTCTTTAACTTTTTTTTGATATCTCTTATAGTTTTCGAATAAAACGGCTGGCACACTTATATCAATCACCCTGTATATGTATATGTACAGGGTGTTTTTTTAAAAACTTGCATCTTTATTTATGGAAAAACCGCAATAGATAGAAATATGCAGTTTACGGGAATCATCTATTGACGTAGGGGGCCCAATTGTTTTGAATTCAACGTTACATTTACTTTCCCCCCCTCCACTGAACTTAATTTTTTTTTAATCGCAAGGTACCCCTTGTGACATATCAAATGAAAGAGCATGAAAAAAGAAAATGTTTGGTGAAATTTACTTTTCATTTGATATGTCACAAGGGGGGGTACCTTGCTATTAAAAAAAGTTATGGGTAGGGGAAAAGGGGGGGGGATTATCTCACAAATTCATGAGCCGATTTTCAATTTTTTTTCACCAAACATTTTCTTTTTTCGTGCTCTTTCATTTGATAAGTCACTAGGGGTACCTTGCTATTTAAAAAATTAAGCTCCGGGGGGGGGGGGAGGGGGGGAATATCTCACAAGTTTATGGACCGATTTTCAATTTTTTTTCATCAAACATTTTCTTTTTTCATGCTCTTTCATTTGATATGTCACAAGGGGTACCTTGCTATTTAAAAAAATAAGTTGGGGACAGGGGGGGAATGTGAATGTAACGTTGAATTCAAAACAATTGGGCCCCCTACGTCAATAGATGATTCCCGTAAACTGCATATTTCTATCTATTGCGGTTTTTACATAAATAAAGATGCAAGTTTAAAAAAAAACACCCTGTATATATATTTGTGTGTGTGTCCGTGTCCGTGAGCGCGATAACTTAAGTAATTTTTGTCCGATTTTTATGGAATTTGGTTTAAAGGTGTAAGGTGGGATAAACTTGCATGAGTTCACAAACCAACATGATCGGACCATGGGAACGGGGTTTTATGGGGTAAAAAAAGGTTTTCCCATTTTTTACCCTAAAACACAAAATTTCACAATTTCTTTCCAAACCATTTTGTAGAGCTTAAAAAACAAATAATTTAGTATAGGTATTGAAGCGTTATTATGCGTCTAATGGTTACGGAGAAAATTCCAAAAACTTAAATTTTTTAAATTCCCCTGTTATTCTTATGGGGAATAAGTCAACTGTTGTAGTTTGCATGTTTATGAACATATTTTGATCAAATTTGGAAAATACATTCATTTATTTCTAAACTACAGTATTAACATTTTACAACAAAAACACTTTTTTACCCTCCCTGTTGCAGCAAACCTGAGTTCTCTTTAAACTAATTCTATTTAAATAAGGAATAAATGTGATATTTTTAAGGAGACATTTTATTGTAAATCCAATCAGGCAAATGGAAATTCACATGGAAAGTCTGCAGGTTTTCTGCAGTGGGGGCATTTTTATTTTCCTTATGTCTCAATGGATGTAGGCAAAGGTAAAAAAATTGTAGTAAAAAACGTTGTAGGTGAAAAACGTAACTCTTCAAATAAACAGCTTTTTGGTGACCTTCAGAATTGGCTGAAAACTAGCACATTTTCAGCCTTAGATTATAGGGATGATATAATTGTAATATATTACAAACTTGGTATTAAATTAAAAGCCGGAATCTCCAGATTAAGATGATACCAATATTTAATAGTGTTAATGCCATTTTCAAGCTTTTATCAGTGAATAAATAAGTAAAACAAGGATGGAAAACAACTTGTTTATTGAGTAAAAGCGTCAAAAAGCATTTAGAGTGAAGAAATTAAAAAACCACAATTCTATTAAAGGACTTGTATGAAACAATAATGATACAGAACAGGCAAGTAACATATGAATTCAACTAGAAGCATAGTGGACTTACCATTGCATTTTATACACAATTAACCAAAAGAAGTTTTTCTGGTAATAAACAACAATATGAACATCACAAATAGGTAAACTGAAATAAACTGCAATAGGTATCAGAGATAACCACACAACTGCCTAGGTGGTGTATCATAAACTGATAAGCCTCTAGCGCTCAGCCTAGGTCAAAAGGCCCAGAACCTTATCAGTGATAAGACACTGGTTCTCTTTTGAATCATAGTGGTAATAGTATATCCTTTTTAAAACACATAGCCAAAATAATTTATCTATCCGATTATCAGTATAATTTATTAAATTTATATTCGTAAAAAAAATGGTAAATAAAAAACAATATCCCTGTGGAAATTGTCGTAAGAATGTTGGAAAGTGTAAAGCTTTGTTATGTAAAGGAATTTGTTGTAAATGGTTCCACTTTAAATGTACTACACTTACAGTAGATGAATTTAA